ATTTATGTGCATTTTGAAATAGATTCGTCTGCTTCGTCCGCATAAAATTCGAATTTCTTCTACATTCCTTTTATGGCTTTATAGCAAAAATAGGCATTCCTAACTTTGTCATTTTATTGTAAACTTTTGTAAATACATTTTTACCAAATTTTTCATCCCTCATTTGACCGCCGAAATGAATTAAATCTGTAGTGCTCAGTAAAGTCTAAATTTATCATTTTACGTTTTAGATTCAGATGTAATAGAATTAAATTTTTATGTAATTTTTTACTTCCAAATCCCACTAACGCACTTCTGAAGATAAGAGACCTTTGCGAATTTTTATACTTCTAGGATATATTTTTTCAGAACATTCACCACTCATTTCATCCCCTCAGAAGGCGAATTTTCAAAAATTTCTTTTTAGTACATAATTTCATACCTACTTCTAGTGATTTTAACAAATTTTTGTACCAAAATTTACCCCCTTAGGAAATTAATTTCCAAAAATATTGATTCTAAATACTCACTTTCGTCACTTAAGGAACTTATGTAGTACAAAATTTCATACTCCTAGTACTAAATTAAAAAATGAATTAAAAATTTCATCCCTTAAGAGATGAATTCTGAAAAACAAAGGAGACCTCCGTGCATAATTTAAGACAGATCTCATATACAACATTCACCCCTCATTTCACCCTCTAGAGCCAATTTCCAAAAATCACTCCAATATGTCACTTAAGGAAGCTCCATGCAAAATTTCATACTCCAAGAACAGACTATATCATATTTGTATGCAACCTTTTGTCCCTAATTTCACCCTCTTAGGAGTCGAATTTCCAATTGCAAGAAATGTACCCGCTTTGAATTTTAACTTTGTCTACATTCCAGAGAAATACGATACTTTTTTAATAACTCTACAAATTTCTGTATACAGGGTGAGTCTTAAATAAGTGCAAATAATTCAGGGCTGATAGATCTCCATAAAAGAAACACATTTTCTCTTTACTGTTTTTAAATAAGTCCTAAATAACCGAGTTATTTTAATTGGAAAATTTCCAAAAAAAAATTAAATTTTAACAACTACTGGATCTTTTCTCGGTTTTCTTTATTGTAAATTTTATCTACTACCTATGCTGCCAACCACGAGGTTGAGTCAGTGCAACTATTTAGGTTCCATGATAGCAAGCTCTGGAGGATGCGAGGCTGAAATCAGGCGCAGAGTGGCAATGGTAAGGAATGCAACAACAAAGCTGACTAAGATATGGAAGACTTCAGCAATTACACAAAAAACTAAACTGCGCATTGCGAACTTCCTCATATTCCCCATAGCTATGTATGGCTCTAAAACATGGACACTGAAGGAAAGTGATAAGCAAAGAATAAACACCTTGGAAATGTGGGTATATCGACGATTGTTGCGAATACCATAGACGGCTCATCGAACAAATATCTCTATTATTGAGGTACTGAAAATTGTCTGATTACCAGGTTGGGTTTAATATTATTATTAGCCATATTGCCAGGAGTGGCACAAAATTCCAAATTTTCATTTTCTTTCGCAAAAAACCTCATAATCATGTTTCTGGGGTCGAATTATACTACCCCTAAAATATTTGAACTTATTTAAGTCTCGCACTGTATAATGTTCTTAAATGAAAAATAAACATCTTTTAAAATATAAGAGTATCTATGTTTATTAATAGATTAATGATAAATTTAATAGATAAAATGGTCTTTTTAATATTATATTAAATATTATACTTTATATTGCTAGAAATGATTCCAGTAAGATTACTCTATGTGGGGAATTTCGAATTTAAAATAGCTTAAAATGGAAATGAAGCTGCAAACTTCTGTAAACAATTTATCGTCCATATATAAACTTCGCATAATGCCGTTGCTCCACAAAACCGCTATGTCCTAGTTGTTTTTGATATTTTTCAACCGTGAGAAAATATACAGCTGAAAATATTTGTAAAAATTTACACCGGATACAAACTGTCTTTTGAGATATTTTTAGATTTAATAAATTTTTATTTTGAAAGGAGTTTCCTTTTACGATATAAAGTCCCAAACAGTTTTATATTATGTTTCTATTTTAAGTAAAACTACATTAATATTTTAAGGGAAGTATTGACGTACAACATTAACTTATTTTAATATGACTAATACTACTGCCATTACTCGCTGACGAGTATTTGGCACGCATCAGAAGATGGTCACGCAAGGCGTTTCCTTTCATGAGCTTTTCTGTGACTGAAAAGCCCGATACGTGATGTTATCTACCTACCGCACTCTGGACATTCAAAAATCTCATTGCTTTGTTGCCTCTTTACTTTTTGGTTGTCGCTGTTAACTGAGTTTACAATTCTTCTCCATTGAGTTCTATTGTAAGCTGTTTCTTCCCAATCATTCTGCATATTAATCCCCTTTAAGTTTTCGTGGAAAATGTCCTTGTACCTTTTGAGTTATCCACCAGGCTTCTTACCGTCTACAAGCTCACCGTTAAGCAAAGATTTTGGTATGTGGTTTTCTTGCATTCTGCATACGTGATCAGACAATCTTAAGCGGGATTTTGTAACCATGACTTCAATACTCTTGTAGTTAGCTTTTTCAAGGACCGACACATTTGAGACATGATGGAATCATCAGATTCTTAAGAGTTATCGAGACATGATGGAATCATCAGATTCTTAAGAGTTATCTAAGGTGTCTCTGATGCAACTTGTTTAATGCGTTCATGTGTCGGCGGTACGGCACCCAGGTTTCGCTCCCATATAACATAGTGGAGATTATAATTGCTCGGTACACTGCAAGTTTCGTTTCTGCAAGTACTCAAGTCATGATTGTAGAAAACCCTGTCTTGTAATTTTCCAGAATGGCCATTAGGTGAAAATGCGGAAAAGGAAATAAGACTGTAACTAACTTTTATTTTGTCGAGTAAAAAATATGTTTTAGAGTATCAATAATAAATCTATAAATGTTGGCGATTTTCTACTTCAACTTGCGGCGTACCGAAAGTTGAAAACTTATTACAGAATTCTCCAGAGTATTGAAAAACACGACATTTTGATGGTTATACGTATTTATGTTGGATTCTAAATGGAAAAAACGAGTCAACTGAAGAAATTTAATTTTAATTATTAATTTTCATAGCTCCAGTACGATAAGTTATAAATAAAATATCAAAATACCAAACAGCATAAAAAAAAAAGAAAACAAGTATATGGATATATAAAACTATTACTATAACCTAAAATTGTTTCAAATAAGTACTCATTGAATTCCCATCAAAAAAATGTAAAAAAAGTTCCTATTAACATGGGTATGGAAATTCATAGTTTTAGAGTTTCAGGATGTTAAAACTTTTTAAAATTAGTTTTATTTTGTAATTATCTTAAATTGTTGTTCGGGTTTGAACAGAAACTGAACAGGTCTGTTGTTTTACGCTAAAAAGCCGTTCAAAGCTGTTCAAAAGCGGTTCAAAGCGGTTCAAACCCGTTTATTCTTGTTTATTAGCCTATTTTACATGTTCCTAGCTGATTTACGCGCATGCGCTGTGCGCTCCCACCGCCTTCTCCTCCGGTGGCGGATGCAGAATCGGCCTTCTACCTCTACTCGCTCAGAATTTAAACTACGGGGATGTTCGAAATAATAAATTCCGCGTGCGTCTGGTAGGAAGGCCGAACGATTGACTAGTTCCGATTTAAAGCTTGACCGAAATAGTGGAAGCAAGAGGCCGAGCGAGATTTCGCTTTTCCTTCTTTTGTAATCCCGTTAGCACGTTCGATGTGAAAAAGCTCTGGGTAGTTGTCTGGGTGCAGCGCTCGCTGGAGAGAAAATTGCAGAGATTTTAGCAGTTTAGACAAGAGATTAAGCCTATTTTAAAATTAAACTGTGGCGAAAATGGCTTTAAGTTTTATCAAAACCTTTATCTTATTTAGTTTTTGTCTACTAACTAATTAAATAAAAATAAGCATAAAAATACTAAAACTGTGGATTTAAATCTTATTAAAATATGTATTTTCTGAGATTTGTGAAATATACGTGGTGGTCCGAATTGTATTCGGGAAACTTCGGCAGCATTACGTAGAATATAGTGGCGTAATCTATTTTTCTACGAAAAAAATATTTTTGAAAATATGAACTAAAGTAATGATTTTTCAAATGAAACACCCTGTATATTTATAAATCATATGATCCGTCCTGCTCTGAGCTTTTCAAAAATATATATCACTCAATATTTATATTCATATTTAAAAGAGATAATTTTCTTATTACTATTAGATACTGATAGATTACTTCTTCTTCTTTCTCTGCTTATCCCATTAATGGATGTTTGCGACCACACTTTCCATGGCTTCCCTATCTCTGGCTGTGTGGATCAACGTCTGTATGTTACTAATGCCTGTCCACTGTCTTATATTCCGCAGCCACGACATTACCTCTTCTGCCCTCGATCTTGCCCTCGATAATCAACTGGAGAAATGTGTATTTATGGTTACGCATGACGTGACCCAGGTATGCGGTCTTTCTTTTTTTTATAGTGTTGAAGAGTCCACGTTCTCTATTAATACGTCTTAGTACATCCTCATTTCTTATCTTGGCCGTCCATGGTATCTTGAGGATTCTGCGGTATATCCACATTTCGAAAGCTTCCAGTCTGTTTATGGCACTTGCTTTTAGTGTCCAACTCTCTACGCCGTAGAGAAGTACCCACCAGAAGTAGCATTCCACAAATCTCAACCGAAGCTCAAGGTCGAAATCGCTACAGGTGAAGACTTTTTTAAATTTCAGGAATGCGTCCCGGGCTTGCTCGATTCTGCACTTAATGTCCCTGTCAGATGACCAGTCCTCGTGAAGCCAAGCTCCCAGGTACTTGAATTTTTCGACTCGTTCTAAGAATTTTCCTTCGTATGTTAAGCTGGCGTCTCTAAACTCATCCACTTCTCTCGTAACAACCATGAATTTTGTTTTCTTTGTGTTAATGGCAAGTCCCATTCTTTGACTACATTCTCCTACCATACTAACCAACTGTTGAGTATTTCTGATGGGATCTCATCCGGCCCAGCTGCTTTATTAGTCTTCGCAAGTTGTATAGCCTTTTCAATCTCTTCTTTCGTAATAGAAGGTCCAGTTAGATTATTTTCGACCGTGAGTTCATTGTCCGGTCTATTATCACTAAAGAGTTTTTCTACATACTCCTCCCATATTTGGCGTTTTTCGTTATCATTTAGAACTATCTGATTATTCTCGTTGAATACCCCAGCGGTTTCTTTAAGTTTTTTATGGAGATTAAAATCATCATGTTTGTGTTGTAGTTGTTCTATTTCCCTGCACTCTTTTTTGAGCCATTCGTTTTTCGCAATCCTGATTTTCGACCTTATCTGTCTCTGTAGATCTCTGTACTTGTCCTTGTTATTTTTGGCTTTTCTACGTTCATCCATGAGAAGCAAAATTTCATTGGTGATCCACTTTTGCTTTTTATTGTTAGATCTATATCCTAGAACAGTCTGTGAGGTGGTTTTTAGGACATTTGCTATTTCTTTCGATGATTGTGTCACGTCATCTCCTTCGATTTTGTGAGACAGTCTCTGTATCTGCGAATTTAACTGGTTAGTTAGATTGTTTTTGACGGTTGGATCATGTAGTTTATCCAGTGCCATTAGACGTCTTGATGTTTCTTTCTTAGGTTTCGAAAGCGATATTCTCAGTACGTCCATCAGTAGTATATGATCGCTATATATATCAGCGCCAGGATATGTGCACGCCGCTTTTATAGAAGACATAAATCTTGAGTTTATGAGGATGTAGTCTATCTGGTTACGGACTACGCTTTCCGTCTGGTCTCTCGGTGATTTCCAGGTATACAGGCGGCGAGGGTGATGCTGGAACCAGGTATTAGCGACTGCCATGCTTTTTTCCTGACAGAATTGCAGCAAACGGTCGCCCCTTTCATTTCTTGTACCCAGACCAAATGGACCAATGATGTTTTCGTATCTACCTTTTCCAAGTTTAGCATTTAGGTCACGCATAATTATATTTACTTCGTGTTTCTTGGTTAATTTTAGAAGATCCTTTACATCACTGTAAAACTGTTCTAAATCTTGGTCTGCTGCGTCCGTTGTTGGTGCATATACCTGGATTATATTTAAGTTAACCGGTCTAGCTTTAATTCGTATCATGGCGGTGCGATCGGTGTGGGGGACGAAGTCCACAACTGATTTCGTCAAGCTCTTCGAGACTATCATTCCTACACCATTGCTGTGGTTTTCGGTCCGACTCCGGGCCATCTGGTTTCTGCGACTCCCAAAATGTCCAGTTTAAGATCGATAGATTTGATAGATAAAACCTCAAATTATTGGTATTTACTAAAATAGTGATACACACATTATTATTGAAGTATTGGAGCCATGGTTACAAAATCCCGCTTAATATGGGCTGGTCACGTATGCAGAATGCAAGATGCATACAAAAATCTCTGCTTTACGGTGAGCTTGTAGATGGTAAGATGAGGCCGGGTGGACAACTGAAAAGGTACAAGGACATTTTCCACGAAAACTTAAACGGATTAGCATGCAGAATGAGTAGGAAGAAGCAGCTCACAATAGAACTCAATGGAGAAGAATTGTAAACTCAGTTAACAGCGACAACCAAAAAGTAAAGAGGCAACAAAGCAATGAGATTTTTGAATGTCCAGAGTGCGGTAGGTAGATAACATCACGTATCGGGCTTTTCAGTCACAGAATAGCTCATGAAAGAAATCGCGTTGCATCTTCTGATGTGTGTCGAATACTCGTCAGCGAGTAATGGCCGTATGATACACACATATTAAAATTTTATTTAGGAATAAAATATTTTACTTTTGAAGTGTTACCACTGAATAGGTTTTTCTTTTTATTAGAACGGGTTATATTATAACGGGATGGGTTTGCAAATATCTACAAACTTGCCTGATAGCATTTTCCAGGTGTTCGACATTGTTGTAGTTGCCACGGTATAGTTCAGAAATCCCCAAATAGAGAAATCGAGAACGGACAAATCCGGGAATAAGGGTGCCATCGTATGGGTGCATTGGTTTCAATTCATTGATTTGGGAAATAGATATTTAGCAAAATTCTAATATTTTCAAACTGGTGTGTGGGAGCCCCATCTTGCTGAAAGTATATTTTTCACGTAAATTATCTAAAGGAATATCTAAGAGTTCCGATAAGATAGCTTCCAAGATTTGCAAATAGCGGTAGAGAGTTAAGCTTCCCTGATATACAGGGTGGGCCAATGGAAACTTTCCATCCCAATTTTTCTCGTTTAAAATTAAAATTTCGAAAAACGCTCGGATACGTTGATTTAGTTTTCGAGGGGGACAATAAAATATCATAAAATCACTTTCACACCTATAACCCCCAAGGCGGGGGCGGCGCCACCCCTAAATTCTTAAATGGAAAGGGGGGCCGAGTGATACCTCATGTGAAAGATCTTTCAATTCCCTTTTTAATGATATAGATATCATGTACTTTCGTTCAGTAGTTTTAGAGATTTATTGATTTAAAGTAGATTTTAATTTATCAGCTAAGTGGTGAAAAAATCGGTTTTTATTTTTTCTCTCCCTCTGTATGTATTTTTTTGGCAAACTATGTATACTAAAAATAAAGCTTTTAAATAAAAAATCTTATTTTTTTTTTTGTTTTTTAAAATTTCTAAAAATTTTCCCGGCCAAAATTGAGCATTTTTCACTTATTCCGAATTGAAATATTTTTGGGCGTGGATCGATGCAGATTGATTAGTTAAAATTTTTAGTATACTAAGTGTGCCAAAAAAATACATACAGAGAGAGAAAAAAAAATAAAAACCGATTTTTCACCACTTTGCTAATAAATTAAAAAATCTACTTTAAATCAATAAATCTCTAAAACTACTGAACGAAAGTACATGAGATCTATATCATTAAAAAGGGAATTGAAAGACCTTTCACATGAGGTATCACTCGGCCCCCCTTACCATTTAAAAATTTAAAGGTGGCGCCCCCGCCTAGGGGGTTATAGGTGTGAAAGTGATTTTATGATATTTTCTTTTCCCCCTCAAAAACTAAATCGACGTGTCCGAGCGTTTTTCCAAATTTTAATTTTAAACGAGAAAAATTGGGGTGGAAAGTTTCCATTGACCCACCCTGTATAACAAATTTATTAATGACTCCCAAAATTAAACAAAAGACAGATAGCAGTATACTTTTAATAAGTCTTTAGTTTTTTTTATTATCAATCATGGCCTACTAATAAATATGATCTTTTAAAAAAAACTTTTAAATATTGCACAAAATAGTAAAAATAAATATAGAGTCATATATATTCTCGAGAAGCTTGTGGCAAGCCAGATCATATAATTTAAAATATACAGGGTGTTCCATTTAAGAAAACATAACTTTAGTTCGTATCTTTAAAATGTTCTTTTCATAGGGATAACCGACTACGCCACTGTATTCTACGTAAAAAGTTCTACAATAAACAGTTTTCCCCATAGAGTTGTTTCCCCCTTCTCGATATCTTTAACAAATTATATTTAACAAAATTTTCAAAAAGACGCTGTAGCTCAAAAACAAAGAGGACTATGAAAATTTTGTTTAGGGCATCTTCCGTTTGACAAAGAAGTTGGATGGTTTGTGCAAACCGCACTCTTCTGTCTTCACTAATAACGGAGATACCGTATGATTTCAACCAAAATGGGACAGTGGGCCAAATTGTACAGCTTTAGATGAAAACTCCCAATTCTTAAACTAGTTTGTCATGCATTTTAAACTCTTCGGCATTAAAAGTATTAAAAATATGTTAATTTTAATGTGTTAGTGGTCAGATACTTGGCTGTTTTCAGTATTAAAGCAGGGGTAAACATACAGACATTCCATGTGGGTTTGTTGTTTATGTATTTTATACGTTTTAACAAAAAAAATCTTCAAAGAATAAGAAATTGTCAGTCGTTCGGCTTAGAGGTCAGACGCACGCCGAATTTGTTATTTAGCATATCCCCGTATTTTAAATTCTGAATGAACGGATACGAAGCCTTAGGGCAGAAAGGTAACGCAAAGGTCGCCATGTTGGGGAGGCACGTCGTCCCATATTTAAAGCACGGCCGGCGAATTACGTTGACAGGTCCTTTTTCAAATATTAATCCCAAGTTTACGGGATACTCTAATTCTGACTAAATAGAGGGTAATTTATCATCGAACCTGTAATTCCCGCTTATAAAAACATTTTGCTAGGGTCAATCTACATTACTATTCGGGCAACTGACCAGGTTATTTCTGTTGTCTATTAGATTTATTAAATTTTCCTATGAAAATTAATAAGGTTAAAAAAAATATAAATTTGATATGAAAAAACAATGATATAACGGAAGTGACAGGAAGTGACCAAAAACAATTGAATACGTCAATCAATCCTAATTTATGTGTTATACTAACATACCAAATCTCATTTTTTTATCTGAAAAATAAAAAAGTTATTGGGGTGAGTCACTTGTTTGATGCACCCGGTATACAGTGTACCATTTAAAAAAGTACAATTTTAATGTAAAAATATCAAATATGACATTTGATGAGGAGCTACTTCTACTACTACTACCACTGCCATTACTCGCTGACGAGTATTTGACACGCATCAAAAGATGGTTACGCAAGGCGTTTCCTGTCATGAGCTTTTCTGTGACTGACGAGCCCAATACGTGATGTTATCTCTCTTCCGCACTCCATGAGCTATTCCGCACTCCACGAGCTACTTCGGATGATTGAGTCGCCTTTATATTTTGTAATGAAAATTTATTTTCGTTGTGCTTGCCTTCGGATTATTTTATTTTTAAACAAGGTTTTTACAGTTTGCAATTTTACTCGCATTGACACCCGCCTTCCCGTACCGTACTTTTCCCCCGGTTCAATGTTGTGCCGTCGGGATACTAGAATTAGATAAACGTTCAATTCATTAATCAATTATTTATAATAATTATCGTATATATATATCGTTAATCAAGTATTATAATCAATTAATATAATTAATTGATTTAAAATATATTTTTTATCGTTCTTTAATAATTCTCTATAGTACTTAGCAAAGTTGAACTTATTATTTGGATTTTAATATGTTTTTGTTCAACGATTATAAATTAATTTGCTCTTTTCATGGATCGTGCCATCCATCACGAGAATCCATGGAGTACCATTTTACTCCAAATGGTACGCTCTACAAAATATTGCAGACTGTAAAACACCGTATATTGTTTTAGGCAATTCATAATACAATAGTTGCAATTTTTGGTTGCCTACCTACTGTTTGAGATTCATTTGTTTATTTTTAACGGAGGTTAAGTGAATTTTCCTTGTTATCAGTGCTAATTGATTAAAATGCAATTGTTTCCTTGATTTTTAAGGTATGTAAGGAGTCGTTAAGTATTATTTTTATTAGTAGTTGAAATTCTATCGAGAATTAGTTTAACAACGCATGACTATTTTCAATTTGATTTTAATGTCAAAATTTTCGGGAGAAGGGGTATTGTTAATATAAAACTAAAAATTTTAAAATTTTGCCTTCTTCTCTTCTCATCTCTGCTCTGGTCATTTGGTCATTATTCCAATCTGTTTGAGATTTTTTTTTCTTCAAGACTGCACACAGAAGGTACTATTTTATTTAATTTTACTATCTGGTTCTATTTAACAATTTATTTCAGCAATTATTTCATTACTTAATATATTTTCTAAACGTAGGTAACTACCTATTGTTTTTTTATTTTGTTTTTTACATAGCTACAGTTTTTTTTCTCATAAGAGCATGTGATTAGGTGCTTAGACGTATCGTAAGATAGTTTTCTTCTCTACTAATTTTCGAGTTATAAATAACTAATTATTTTTTTATTTTTTCTATCTCTATATATATATATACGGAGACGCCACAACATGGAACCGGAACACAGGCAGGTGTTCGATAGAGAGTCAGGCTGTCCGAGACAACCAACTGCTGCAGGAGTACGATCAGGAATATCTCAGGAAAAGCAGGCCTTTGGTAAGTAAAGCTTTTATAACTTCATTATTAACGACTATTGTCATCTTTTAAAAAACTTTACTTGCCAGAGGGTGGCTTCTCCATACCTGGACCCTGTGGTGGTTGTTTTTCTCATTTGACTCCTCGACAGATAAGATTTTCTAATTTTTTTCTCGCCTTATCTGTCGATTAATTTACTATTAATAATATTTTTTTTTATAATTTAAATC